GATATAGATGGAAAATAGGGGATGGTAAAAAAGTGAAATTTTGGGAGGATAATTGGCTGGGTCCTTCTAGTTTGGCTATACAATTTTGGGATGTTCATGTCTTGATCCAAGAAAAGTCTGGCACTGTAGCTGAGCTTTGGGATGGAGTTAACTTGAAGTGTACTTTTAGGAGGGGAGTTGATCAAAGACTGATAAATAAATGGTTAGAGATTGTTCAGCTAGCTTCTACAATTTGTTTTTCAGAGGAAGAGGATTCTTTAATTTGGCAGTTTAATTCGAATGGGATCTACTCTTCTCAATCTTTGTATAGGATAATAAACTTTAGGGGGATTCTTCCTGTTCATGTTCTTGCGGTGTGGCATCTTAAGATTCCTCCCAGAGTTCAGTTTTTTCTTTGGCTTTTATCCAAAAACAAAACTTTGACTAGAGTTAATTTGAGTATTAGGAAGAAACTAGAGGATTTATCTTGTCTCTTTTGCTCAGAGGTTGAGTCTGTACACCATCTGTTTTTTGAGTGTACAGTTGCCAAGCAAGTGTGGTCTTGCATGTCTGAAGTATGTGATAGAGATATAGGAGATGATTTTTTGTCTATTGGGCAGCTATGGCTTAGTAACAATAGGGTTTTAGTTTGCAACTCCTTCACTGCTGCAGCCCTGTGGGGGCTTTGGAAACTAAGAAATGACATTTGTTTTCAGGGAGCCCCATGGGTGGACATGAGGATTTTGCTCTTGAAAATTGCAGCTATGCTTCATACTTGGGCTATTCTGATACCCCAGGAAAAGAGGCAGGAGTTTGTGATGAGATTAGCAAAACTAAAGGCAAGGATCAGTGGCTGAATCTAGGAGATGACAAGGTGGATAGGATCCTTTTTCAGCAAGCTTTTAACTGGGTGAACCCTGAAGTGCCAGAAGAAGCGAAGAAGAAGCTATCTAACTCAAGGGAGGTTTCTGGGAAGGAAGGGAGAACCTGGTGCAACCTCTTGGGTGGCGAAGGTGACATCTGATTCTGGTGTTTTTTGAAGCTGAGAGAGTGAGGGTAATGCTTTTTTGGTGAGGTTTCCTGAGGATGCTTTGTAAGCTTTCTGGACGGGTGTGTTCCACCTGAATGCTGTAAACGTTTACATTTTGTCCTTGCAATGAAATGACAGGGGCTATGCCCTAAAACTCTAAAAACTAATACATGAATATAAAATATTGAATTGCATAAAATAGGTATATAAAAAAGTAGTTGTGATCTATAGTTTCCACCCATTTTTGACCAACTAGTGACCTATATCAGTTCCTGCCATCCTGTCGACGATTATAATGCCAGTGATCAGATGCAAACACCATCATTTCCCCGTGTCCTCAATGATCGAACAAGTCAAAGATAAAGGGCAATTATTAAGACTCGCAATCATCTGATAAACTAATAATGAGCACAAGCAACAAGGCAAATCATCCAATTGGAGAGAAAATATCCAAGGGAGCAAAAGTCTCCTCTCCTCCATACTCTGTGTGTAGCGCAACAACGAAGTTTTCTACGGGTTCGCTCAGGCAAACTAGGAAGAGAGCGGTTGCCCGTGGGTAGTGGAACCGCGAGCTACCAGCTGGGGCACAGTTTTGCCCACAGCCGCGGTCGTTGCTTCCAGATTATTCCGAGACGCCATCACGTCGGCGACGGCCGCCGCCGTAGCGCTGAACGCATCGACTCACAATGTTGCGAGTTATCTGCTCGATCTCTCCGATCACGAAGAAGGTGCTACACGACGCGAACCCGACTGCATACCGTGCGCGGCTCGTGATTTAATTTGTCAAGCACTCGAGCTGATACTAGCTAGCTATGGCCTATAGCCCTATATCTAGGTCTGAGAGTGAGAGGGAGAACGAGATGTTGGTGTCGCGCATGCACGCAACGAGGAGCTAGCCAGACATTCTCTCGATCGGTGACTCGGTTGGTGGCTGAGGCGATCGAGCTCCTCTCTCCCGGATCCCCGTCGTCTCCCGCTGAAACCCGGCGAACGGACGAGCGAACTCGGTGCTGTCATTTCCTCGACGTCGTCGCAGGTCGCCGCACCAAAGGTAGATGTGTGTGTCTCGCGGCCATGAGGCCGTCACATGCGCTGCCGCAAGGCCTGCAAGCGAGTTGTGACCAAATGGCCCGGCTGGCCGGTGAGCGAGTGGGAATGTGGGATACATCGGATGGGTCGAAGTGGAGAGAGATATGCTGGTTACAGCCACTACGGCCTCGTATCTGCTAGACTGACGTCTTCTCGACTGGCATGTTTGCGCATATGTATTTGCAGTTAGGCCTTGTTTACATTCAGCATGTAAAATTTTAGGGTGTCATATTAATATGGGGTATCGCATTAGATGTTCGGATATTAATAAAAAATAAATTATAGAATCCGTCAGTAAACCACGAGACGAATTTATTAAGTCTAATTAATCTATCATTAGCACATGTGTTACTGTAGCATTTTATTGTCAAATTATGGACTAATTAGGCTTAAAAGATTCGTCACGCAAATTAGTTGTAAACTGTATAATTAGTTAATTTTTAGTCTATATTTAATATTCCTACATATGTCAAATATTTAATGTGACATGATGTAAAGTTTTAGGGGAGAAGTAAACAAGGCTTAACCTGGTCCTGGCTGTTGCTCCTAAACTGCACCGGGTCAGTTGTACGTCTGTAAAAGCTACGCCACCCTGTAAAATGAAATTAATGCATCCGCATTTTTTATCTTGATGAGATGATGCAGGTGCCTCTAGTTGGTGGAAGGATAGACGACAGGTTCTGACTGATTTAATCTATCGGCACGGGAGAAGAGCCTGCCGGGGAGGGCTGTTGTGATGCTGGGCTGCACGATGATCGCACAACTCAACTTTCAGCGCTAGCGATAGCACGTCCGGCCCGTAATGGACGCCAGGTCGATGGTGGTGCCGTGTATACAATTCCAGGCAGGCAGCAAGCTGCAAGTACACCCGTTTACGCGACGACGATGGAACCGGACCGCCGTGCATCCTAGTAGGTGGTATAGTAGTTTCTATGAAGTGTATGTAGGCCGGTGGTTACGTTATTCTTCGTCCATCTGCTGACAGATCAAGAAAAAAAAACCACGAAGCTGCTGCTTGCATAGTTGCATTGTTGCCGTGCCACCGATGCTGCTGCACTCATTGATAGTAGATGTAATCTGAGATGACGATCAGTACACTAGAGGCTTCTGGTCCTAGAAGTAACAGCGACTCTGCCACACTACCGACCATCAGTCTATTCGTTTCGTCATAAACGATCGTGGATTATTTACTGTTGACTGGTTTGATGTGTGAGAGAAAAATATTATTCCAACTTATAATCCACGATCGTATACAAACAAGCGAACAAGCTGCATGCGGGTGAGACTTGGAATCTTCTTCTGCGCTGATCATTGGAGCCACCCATCTGGACGGCCAAGCAAGTAGACGGCGGCCGCCATTGTTTATACTGGAACCGATGGCTCAGGTCACAGCGTCCACTGTCCATATATTGAACTGAAAGAGGTACTACTCTGACACTGAAGTTTCATAAACCGGGAGACAGAATTCAGACAGCGTTTATTACACAGGAATCGTGAAAATTACCCATGCCAAATGCCGGTAGAACAAAAAGGAAATTACCTTCTGGGTTACTGTGTGCTGTACTGCTGTACCAATATGCCATGAGCATAAGGTTCTGACAGTCGACATCAGCTCAAAAGGTGCAAGATCTAGCCTCAACGGAATCGCAATATTGTTTCCCACTTTCCTAAATTAATTAATAATTAATCTAAAAGTGAGCGTCAATCACCAGAGCGCTCATCACTTTAGTTATTCACCTCAGAGTAGAGCTTCCGGGCTGAAAGTGAGGTCGCCGGAAGAAACACGCAGAGGGCCCGTGCATCTGTGCTATACGGAATGGCTGGAAACGAACCAAAGTTCACTTTTTTTTTTCAAGAGATCCTGGCCATCCTATAAACAATTCTTTGCTGGGGTTTCCATGAGTAAAGCATTGGTTAAGCAACATGTAGCATATAATTTAGGGGCTTTTGCTTTATTTTTATTATTATTCTCCTTTTTTTTTTGGTATCACAAGCTGATCCCTCGCCTTTAATTCCAAATCAATGATATTCTCACCTCACTAACGCCATTATATACGACTGGTAAGTCTAATGGTAAGAGTAAGACAAATTCTGCCCACCTGAGGTTATGGTTATCCAAAACTTTTCCATCATGAGTTCATGACAGTGTGACACTGATAATATCTTTCAGGGCATCAAACAAGAACAAACTCGTCCTCAAGCGGCTTTTGACATCCATTTTAGTGACTGCCGCATGATTGAGCCGTAGAATACTCTCGACTAGTGCTGTGCTTTCGAATGTGCTACTTCAGTTGCAGTTCATGTCCACTCTTCTAATAAAAATGATTCAAGCCATTTCCCCCCTCTTTTTTTTCTCAAGAAGAATACATTCGCATGCACCGCTTATCGATAAGGCATGCATGCATTGGAATAACCAGAATTTAGCCAAAAAGTAAAAACAGATGAGCGCATGGTATCCAACTTTGTGATCAGATTATGACTGCACATCAACTTCATAACTGGCAACTGGCATGCAATGCAACTGCAACTCAACTGAAGGATTCTGCTCCTGAAAGCTGGCACCCGGGCCGGCCTCTTGATTCGCAAAGAACACCCGGCCTCTGCGCGCAGAGAGCCAGAGACCCACTCCAGCGATCGATGGCTGCGCCACCAATGGCGCCCGGATGCAATCGGGGATCGACAACTCCTCCCTCTGCGAATCAGGAAGCACCCCCGACAATACCAATTCACCATCACCGTGTCCCTGTCTCTGCTACCTGACAAGACCAAAAGTAAGTTCACCATTTCGCAGTAGTTATCAGAGTCCGAGAACCACATGGGGGCTCCCCGCTCCCGTCCAGTATAAATAGGCCATGCTGCCGCGGCGTCCCTCTGCACAGAATGCAGCAGACCTGCAGCGAAAATGGCACGCTCTTCCTCTCGCACAGGTTCGTGGGCACGACGCCTCCCGTGCTGCGACGGTGACGGTAGAAATAGGTTCGGTGGCAGCAACCTCTCCCGCGATCTCCTGCCGTCGCTCGGTGCAACGGCACAGCAGCCTCATCCCAGGCTCAGGAAAAACCTCGTGTCACCCTACGATCCGCGTTACAAGTACGCGTTCTTGCATCCGTGTAGATATATATGTGTGCGTGATCGTTTGCACGATGGTCAAGAAGTTTTTTATTTGTTCTTGCCCGGGCGCAGGGTCTGGGAGATATTTCTGATCCTCCTGGTGGTGTACTCGGCGTGGATCTGCCCGCTGGAGTTCGCGTTCCTGAGGTACCTGCCCAGGGCCCCTTTCGTCGTGGACGATGTCGTCAACGGCTTCTTCGCCGTCGACATCGTGCTCACGTTCTTCGTCCCGTACGTCGACAGCAAGTCCTACCTCCTCGTCGACGATCACAAGAAAATAGCAGTCAGGTACTACTCACGTCAGCCTTTCCACGGTCTCTGAACAATGGAATTAATGCACTGTTTCTGAACTTGTTATATCCTGTCTGCAGGTACCTGTCGACTTGGTTTGCCTTTGATGTGTGCTCGACATTCCCGTTCCACTCCATCAGCCTGCTGTTCAACAGGCACGAGCACGGCCTGGGCCTCAAGTTCCTCAATGTTCTCAGGCTTTGGCGGCTTCGTAGGGTCAGCTCCTTGTTTGCAAGGTACTTATGTATGATTACGCAAAACTGAAAAGCTAGCACACCGGTCAAACTGAAACTCACAGGGCCATGACTATGATGCCATAGGCTCGAGAAGGACATCCGGTTCAACTACGCAGTGATCCGCTGCACAAAGCTCATCTCCGTACGTCAAATAAAGCATTCGTCCTCCCAGAGGCCATAACAGTGTGCGTCGTGCAGTGCATGGTCACTGATCAGCCTCTGCTTGCAGGTTACCCTGTTCTCCATCCACTGTGCCGGGTGCATCAACTACCTGATCGCGGACCGGTACCCGGACCCGAGGCGGACGTGGATCGGCGCCGTCATGCCGGACTTCCGCGAGGCCGGGCTGTGGATCCGCTACGTCACGTCCCTCTACTGGTCCATCACGACGATGACCACCACGGGGTACGGCGACCTGCACGCCGAGAACAGCCGGGAGATGCTATTCGGGATCGCCTACATGCTGTTCAACCTCTGGCTCACCGCCTACCTTCATCGGCAACATGACAAACCTCGTCGTCCACAGCACCAGCCGCACCAGGGACTTTGTATGTCGTGTTCACCTCCCAGCCCCCACGCACACACGCACACGAAGAGATGAATGTGCACGATGTGACCGTGGCTATTGCATGATGAAATGCAGAGGGATATGGTCCAGGCCGCTTCAGAATTCGCGGCGAGGAACCAGCTGCCGCAGCAGATCGAGGAGCAGATGCTGAACCACATATGCCTGAGGTTCAGGACGGAGGGCCTCAAGCAGCAGGAGACGCTGGATATCCTTCCCAAGGCGATGCGGTCAAGCATCTCTCTCTATCTCTTTTTCCCGGTGGTGCAAGGGTCCTACTTGTTCAAGGGAGTTTCCTCAGGTTTCATCCAGCAGCTGGTGAGAGAGACCTGCCATTAAATAAAGACGCAATGCAACATTGGGGTGAGACACACTTACCAAGTCCAGTGGCAATGTAACATGCATGCAGGTGACGGAGATGCAGACTGAGTACTTGGCCCCAAAGGAGGATATCATGCTGCAGAATGACAAACCGTCAGACTTGTATCTTCTTGTATCAGGAGCAGTGGTACGTTGCGTCCAATTGTTTCACATTGTGTTATGGTGAACGTGTAAATCATTTGGGACCTTGACTACATGATGACCAAATGCATTCTTATTTCATTCGCAGGACATTCTGGCATTCCTAGATGGAACAGAGCAGGTAATGTGGTCTCCTCAGTGCTCAGTTCCTCACTTTCAGCAAGGATACTAGTACATACTCCTACAGAACCGCTAATAAGAATGGCCTCTGAACTCTGAAGCTAGCCTAAGTATAAGAATAGTAGCCTTTTTGAACTCTAAAGGGATTTAGTCCTACCACTTCTAACGACGACTACTAAAATTTAATAGCTCAAACCAAACACCCCCTTACTCTGAGTTACTGCTAACGACGACCTACTGTTCATGTTCCAGGTCTATGGAAAAGCAGCCGAGGGAGAACTGTTAGGAGAGATTGGGGTCATGTCCAACAAGCCACAGCCATTCACTTTCCGGACCACAAAACTATCTCAGATTCTAAGGATCGGCAGGTCCAAGCTGATGGACATCGTGCAAGAAAACGCAGAAGACGGTCAGATCATCAGAAACAACTTTCAGCAAGTAAATCCTTGAGCACGATCATATCTAATGTTTTCTAAGTTAGGGCCTTCAAATACTCTGACAGCTTCGTTGCTTGAAATGTGCAGAAACTCCGCGTGGAGCAAAGACTGTACATTGCAATGCATCAAGACGATCCGGTCCCTGCATTTGAACGGAGGATGGATCCCTAAGACCGCTCGGATGTCAAAGCAAGCAGCATCGTGCTTCGAAGGCTGTTTGCTCGAACTGTGTTACAAGGGAGAAGAATTTTTCTGTGTCTTTTCGGCACAGAATTTGAAAAGTGCAGTAGCCTTCGGTAGCAGACAGCAGTATAGTAGAACAATAAGGCAGGAAGGGCTGAAATTATTGCCAGTTTCGGCTCCTCAGCCCAGGAATACTGAACGGGCTCGATTTGTCAGATATGGGCCATTGGCAATTTGTATCGTAAAACAGGCTCATTGCATTCTTTGCTGCTTCCGGGCTAGCCCATGAATACCTTTTAAATTTTGTTTATTTTATTTACGTACGTATATATGGTAACGAAATTTAAAAAAATCAAAATCAAGCTGGTGTGGTGGGCCAGTGGCGTTGGCGTTTCTCTGATCCTAGACGAACAAAACTTGCGAGCATATCAGACACACATAATCTTCATGCAGTATCATCATGATGGGAATGGGCCAGGTCGACCCATTGAGTAGTTGACTCGACCCACAAAAGCAAGGTCAATAGCGGCCTCAAAATTTAAAATGGGTTGCTAGGGCCAGAACCTGTTGACCCAATGGGTAAAATGAGTCGAGCTACTTGTCACATAATTTTTTCTTAATTTATTTGTCTTCTTTACTTTTCCGAATAAGCATGGTTGGTCATAAAAACACATGGAATATCATATTTTGGAAATGAAAATATATCACTTGTAAACTTATTTATACGAGGTCCTTAGCCACCATGACGGATTTCCTGTACTGTACTTACTTGCTGCGCAAAGTAGACTTCACCGGCTTGAACTTATCAAAAGCTTTATCAATTAGAATCTATGATATTTTCTCTCACAACAGTTTTAAGTCCATAGCCACTTTCATTGCTCGGATTTCCTGTGGTTAATGAAGCAGATCGTTTCTTGAGAAAAATAATGATTAAATTGAAATTTCATTGCAGCATAGGCCTTTAGATTCTCATTGCAGCACATGCAATGCGGCACTGTTCACTTTTTTTATAATCTGTATTTTTCAGCTTGTTTTTTTAGTCGGAATAGTGTTTTTCTCTCCTAACAAATTAATCGAAACAATATTTTAATTTGTTTTTTTACGAAGCGAACGGGTTGTACAACGTTACGCGGACAGACCCCATTCAGTCCGACAGTCCAATCAGAGGCCCATTTTTCATGCATGTTACATTTGCGAGAGGCCGCTAACCAATGACTCATTTTGTATCTCATAAAGTGTTAATAGTATTCAGATTCAAAATAATATAAATATAATATTTGGGTCCACCCATATTCCGTCAACGAGGCCGTAACATATAAACAAATGGATCGACCCATGGCCCCTAGAACTGCCTTGGGATAGTACTAGCGCCCAAACGCTTGGACGGACGCATACGTCCGCACACCCACGGCGGCTGCACGCCCACGCTATGGGGACCACCTGTGACGCTCCCCGCGCTTCTCCCTCCGCTTTCGCGCCCACAGCCAAGCAGCGCTCCATCCCTCGCTTTTCACACGCATGCACGACGCTATAGCATGGCGGCTGTGGAAGGTGAGTATACATTGCAACATGTATAACATCCGATTTATTTTGAAACATCTAGATGAAAACATTTACAACATGCGTCTAAAGACATATGAAACACCTTAAAACACTTGAAAAAACATTGCAAAAACATATGCAACATCCAAATAAAAACACTTGCAACATATATTTGAAACATATACAATATTCAAATAAAAACACTTAGCAACGCACGTTTGAAAAAAAAAGAGATGAAACATTTGAAACAGACGCTTTGCAACATATGTGTATAGCCATTGCAACATATGCATCATCCCGATCTACTTTTTCAACATCCATATGAAACACTTACAACATACCTCTCAAACATCTGAAACAATTGAAACATATGTTTACAACATAGGAGAGAAGAGAAGAGGCCGGTCGATTCTGGCCGTCAAGGTGGGAGCCGGCGGTGAGCGACGGCGCGCGAGCACCACCAGCACTCGCCACGCTCGTGGGTGCCCCTTAGCTCGGCCGAGGACGACATGAGGCCCTGAAACGTGCGCCCAGCCGCCATCGGTAGGGGCGGTGGCGGTGGCCCGCTGAGGCGAGTCATCCCGACGGCATTGGGTCGGGGAAGAGGCCAGGGAGACGCCGTTGAATTGAGGGAGAAGGCAGCTTGGTCGGCTTGGTCTCTGTTGCTGCCAGCGGACGCGAGAAAAGAGATAGGAAGGGTGAGACGAAGCAGGAAGATTTTTTTTTCTTGAGAAAGGCGGGCGAGGTGGAGCGGGAAACCGCATCCGAACGAACACGGGCGGACTGGCGCCCGCGTCAAAATATTTCCGTAATCACGGTCTGATCTGCTTAGTTATAACATGGAGATAGTATCAATTTTGTCCTGAGGTAAAACAAGCGTTCGAAACTAGTTCATCGTACCAAACCCCGTTTACTTGTCAAACACTTCTGCCGCTCTACTCGACACATCGTCATGATTGTGCCCGGCGCAGAAGGGAACACGTTTGAAAAAAAGAAGAGGAGAGGAGAGGAGACCCCGCCACGCCCGGATCGTAGAACGCGCGCACTCGAACCGAACCGAAGGGAAGAAGCACGCGCGGACACATCTCGTCGAAGCATGTCTCGCCTTTCACCTGGCCTCCTGTGTGCCGTGCGCCCTTGCCGTCCCTTGGATTCCCTCCGCCGGCACGCGTGACCTCAACGGCTAGCTGCTGCTGTCCTGCACTCCTGCTGACCGCTGGCCCGGCCATATGCGCCTTTAACTCAACGGCTACTCCACTCAACGACCACGACCAGGCGAACAACGTCTGGGCGTGGCCCCCACCGCCCGAATTCGAACGTTTCCGAAGCTGGCCTCGCCTCACCTGAGCCCCTCCACCCCAACGGCTACATTCCTCTCGTCCCACCTATAAATCTGCGGCTCCGCCTCCACTTCCCCCACACCGCACACAACCGCACACTCCCAGATCCCCTCGAAGCCGACGAGAAGGAGGGAAGCCGACCGCCGCCGAGCCCTCGTCTCCAGTCCGAGAGATCCTTCTCGTTCGTCTGCCTCCATGGCCGCCTCGACCAAGACCGTCGCCGTCCTCCTCGCCGTGGTGCTGCTCGCGCTGGTCGCGTCGGCGGCGGCCAGCAGGAAGCTGGAGGAGGACGCGCTCCTGGGAAGCCTAGCCCTGGCCCCTGCGCCCGCGCCGGCCGTGGGCGGTGCCGCGGGTCTCGCTGGCTCCAAGCCGGGGGCGTGGGCCGTCGCCGTCCTGGTGTCTCTCATCGCCTTCCTCGCTAACTGAGGGGCTCTGCTGCGAGGGATGGAGGGAAGAATCCTGCGATCTGGATTGCTCGGGGAGGGGAATATTTATGTTCGTTCTGTTTGTTCTAGGCTATTGGTTCCAGTGCTGCTGATGCTGACCTCTCTTTTGCCTGTATAAGAGAGGATTATGCTTCTTTTATAATATGCATTCTTTGTGTCGATCTCTTCGATAACTACTATTTCTGGTTTGAGCGAGGAAATTTAATATGCGACAGAATTCGGTACTGAATTTCTGTCAACCGGCTAAAACATTGTGACAGTTCACTTTCTAGATTCATGCACTGAGGCTGACGTTCTAGGCGAAATTCTGAAACATACTAAAATGCGGGCTTGCTGCAATGTTTTCTAGGCTCGTACCAGGCCCAGAATTCGGCTTCGTTTAATATCAGCCCAATTGGCCGCTGATTAGCCTTCCTTTAGGCCCCAAATTGTTTTCTGGCCCACAGAGGCATCCAAATTCAGCCCATGATCTCGTTCGGCCTGCCAATGGCCTAAAGGGCAGCCTCCCCGGCAACTAGAGCCAGATCGCCCTGACACGGGCGTCGGCGTTCGATTGGTGTTGTGGCGCCCGTGATGCGCTGCGTGCTCCCGACCTCCCGTGCCGCGGCCGCCTTGCGTTGCGTGATCAGCCACGCAGCTAGTAACATTTTTGGGTGCCGCCTTCCTCTAAACCTCTCGGCCTCGGGACCATTCCCACGCCACCGCGGTCCACGGTACACGTCGCGCGTTCTCGCTTCAGGTCCTCCGCCCATCCAAGTCCTGATGAGCCCCTGAGCAACCACCGGCCTCCAATAATTCCATCATCCGCTCGTCCGCGGCAGCCTTTTCGGTTCTCGGATTGAAGGCCGGCTGTGGCGGGCCCCCACCCGTCAACCTGGTCATGGATGAATTCAGATCCACGCGAAGATATACTAAGGTAGTGGTACCACTAGCGGGGCCATCGCGTGTTTTAATCCCGGGGCCATCGCGTGCCAGAGAACGTTTGAGGTGATGGTACCACTAGCGGCCTAGCGCGTGATGCGTAGTAGCAGTAATGCGTTTCAGGATACCACCACCGGGTTTCATCACCATCTTCATCCTCTGCCGCCAATTATCGCCACTTTGGCCACCGCTGCCAGTTGTTGATGAGACACCCCATGTGTTCAGATGAACCTAAGCCGGATGGAGAATTTCTGTGGTTTTTTTTTTGTGTGGCTGCGGTTGTGTTCAGGTTTTAAAATTTCTTCTTGCCGCTATATATCATCTGGTGCGGAGGGCATGCGCCAATGATCGGAACAAGTGGAGTCTTATTTTATTTGGTCACTCCAAGCTAGGTCGAAGGTTTTTGTTTGTATAGCAACATTGACAAGTTTTTTGGCAAAACGTACACTAGCAACCACCTTTCTACTTCACCTTCAGCGACCTGGAAGCAACAAGTGTCCTACAGCATTGTCCAGGAGCAACAACTATTGATATAAGCTTGGCCAAAAAAAAAAAAAGTGGCACAAACAATGGGAACCTTTGCAGACGAAATTGATTTTCCGAGAAGCAATGCGCCAGTTTTCTGAGCGGTAAGCAATATCAAAATGGTTTTCACGTATCGGCTTTCGCCTGCCTCCTCCAATCAGATAGCAACAAGCGTCCGTTACGGCATTGGCCAGACGCAACTTACCGGCAGGCGAACCCCAACAGTGTTGTGATAGCGCGTTGGTTGGGCCACGGCGGCCACGCCGATGGAGCACCACATTGTACTGGAGCGCCACATTATTATATTTGACATGACGGCTGGGATTGGATGGCCGAATGACGTTGGTTCCATCGAGCTTTACTCCTATCTTTGACACCGGGGCCCCGGCCCGCCCCGATCACCATTAACGTGGTGGATCTGCGCGTCACGATTCGGCCATTCGATCGGGGCCCTGAAAAGGAGCTGCTACACTTCTGACGAGACATGGGTGTGCCATAATAATGCTGTCTAGAATGACAGTTGCGTTTAGTGCGTGTTTAGTTGCAAAAAAAAGTTTCAAAAAAGTGCTACATTATCCATCACATCGAATCTTGCGATACATACATGAAACATTAAATGTAGATAAAAAAAATAATTATACAGTTTGGTAAAAAATTACGAGACAAACGTTTTAAGTCTAATTAATCCATGATTGAACATTAATTATCAAATAAAAATGAAAATGCTATGGTAGCTAAATTCCAACTTTCCCCTCGGGCTTACCCGTACGCAACCAGTGAGCAGCAACCAAAGAGCTTCCGGAAAGGACAGTGTTCTGCAGGTTGAGCACAGAGGGTACCGGTCCTACGCCTGAACCTTATATTGAGTTGTTTGAACCAAAGAGCTTCCGTTTTTTTCTCACAATAAGGACAGTATTTTTCTGCAGGTTGAGCACAGAGGGTGAATCAGCGAACGGGGCCACTATTAGCTGGCTGCTGCTGTTGATGATGATGATGATCATTTACCTTGGACTTGATAGCGGCCGGCTTTCAGCTGTCACTTTACACGATAATATCACGTATCTAGAATGACAGTTGCGTTTACCCGTACGTCTGAACCAGTGAGCAGCAACCAGCCTTGTTTACGTCTTGTCCAAATTTTTCTCCTCTAGCATATGGATTTTAGCATATATATGGAGCATTAAATATGATAAAAAAAAAGCTAACGGTTTTCCATAAAGAGGGAGATCACGCGTGATTCTTTCTTGATCGGAGAAAGTTTGCCGAGGAATCGGCTGCTACTTCGGATTGCAAAAATTTGCAATCTTTTGTTTGCAGGTTGAGCACAGAGGGTACTATTAGCTGGCTGCTGCTGTTGTTGATGATGATGATGATCATTTACCTTGGACTTGATAGCGGCCGGCTTTCAGCTGTCACTTTACACGATAATATCACGTATCTGAAGGGAATCAGAAGCGCTGTTACTACGTCTTGTGCTTCTCCAAGTAGCATGGAGCGTGGATCCAAGGATCGTTGTTACGGCTGATCTCAAAAGCGACGGCTCCATCAGAGGGGAGATCACGCGTGATCTCTTTCTTTCGCAGACGGATTTGCCGAGGAATCGGCTGCCTCTTCGGACACCGAATTTTTTTATTTTTTTAGCCCTTTTTAAAAAAATCATAAATATGTCTCTCGAGGTAAGATTTTAAAATCTGGATCTTTAGCTCGGCGCCATCGTTGCTGGCGCCGAGCTCTTGGGCTCGACGCTGACGTGACGGTGATTTGGCAGGCAGCTCGGCGCCGTCGTTACTGGCGCCAAGCTTGTCTTACGTATGGCCCCAATCCTTTCTCTCTTCCTCTCCCCCTTTCTCGCACCGAGTGGCCGCGAAGCAGAGCACTACTGCGCGCCGCCGCAGCGCCCCCTCGGCGCCCGCCCTCGTCCACGCCTTGTAATCGAGTCGCGCGCGTGCGCCGTGCCGCCTCGCGCGCCGCGCCGTCGCCGTGCCGTTGTGCATGCCGCATGCCGCCTTGCCCCGCCCGCCGTCATGCCTTGGCTGGTTGCCTTGGCCCTGCCGCTGCCATGCGATGCGGGGTCATGGCTGCCGCCATGCCATCGCGCCATGCCGCCATGGCCGCCCCGCTGCCGCCCTACTGCCGCGTGAAGCGCCGGGCATCCCGCCGCCGCCTTGCCACGTGGCCGGCCACACTGCCTGCCGCGACGGTGCAGCCACCGCGGCCCGGCTCGTCGGCCTCACTCACGCCCGGCGTCCGCTGCGACTCCGTCGACGTCCGCGACTCCATCGTCAAACAGGTAAAAGTTGTGAATTTACAATGTACGTCCTTAGTTAGCTTTGATTATAGTGTAGTAGTTTTGGCATTTATTATTTACTAGTTAATGTGATGACTCAGATAGTTGATTTAGTTAGTAATCTAGTGAGATAGATATGTAGATAGATAGAAACATAGATACATAGGTATATAGATATAGTTATATATCTACTTAGATAGGTAGTTATATATTTAGTTAACTAAATAGGATCTAGCTATTTAGTGAGTATATTGTATCTATGTATGTAGTTATTATCTTATTTACTTAGTTTGTAGTTAGAAAGTATTTGTTAGATACTATCTATCGTCTAATTTGGACTAAAGGACATGTGTTTCGTTACGTGTTTGAAATAGATGGACAATCTAGTGACCATATATTATGGAGGCACCGTTGAAAGCGATCGCTATGGATATGTTGAGTTTGTTGACATGCAAAGCGTGCATGTGCTATTCAATGATAAGCCATCGTTTAGTGAGATTGTTGCAAGGGCTCAGGAGGAGCTGCATTGCCTTGGCGATGATGATGATGGCATTGCAGTTGATGGTGTATAGCACCTAGGTTCTCCTCCCAACATCCAAGGCGAATGATCCCAATTGAATGTGCGGATCAGTGGGAGAACTATATGAGATCGGCTATGAAGAGACAGCTGCAATATTTGGACGTGGTTGTGCGTCGGGTGTTAGTTGATCCCATTCCTCATGGGTTTTCCCCACCAATGGGTTAACAGGCACATTTCGACCCTCCCATCCCGGAACCTGAAATGGATGTAGAGGTTGCACCTACGGTTCCCGATGCTCAATCTACCCCCAATGAGCTAGTTGGAGATGCTTGTCAGACTCATGATGTTGTGGTAGATTCTCCTCATGAGATCCCTTTGACATAGAATCGTCCAAGTAAGTGTCTTATCCGCATGGTTATTAGGAGCTTACCCCCTTCCTAACATCCATTTCTTTCATTCTTTCCTCATTTTTCTACTTATGTTGCAGTAGACATTTCTAACAATGCGGATGTGCCCCCTGTTGCTGCGCAAGTGCTCTGTGAAGATGGATTCCGTGGCTCCAATAGTGTTGAAATTATGAATGATTCGGAGCCATATGAGATGGCAAGGGCTCTTGATTCTAATGATGATCGCCCTGTTGGAGAGCTGATAGAGAATGATATTGAGATGCTGAGGCGTATCTTTCCCGATCGCCGTGATCCAAGAGTTCACGAGTTCAGTGATCTTG